GTCGACATATCCTGGAAGTTCTGTGTTGATTGGACAAACAATATGCATTTTGTAGCCTGTTTTGCGCTTTATCCCCTGCAGTTTGTTTGCATTTATAGCGCCCCCGCGTGTTCGATTTGAATGAAACTTTCAGGGCATGTTTCTTATGAGTACATATCCTGAGAGATTTGTGATGATTGGAGAATGAATATGGGATTTATAGTGTAATTTGTGTAATGCTAAGCACCTGTCTTGCGCTTGTAGCGCCCCCTAGTGACATATGTACATCAAACTGTCTAGGTATATACGAGGCACTTATCTCAACATATCCTGTGAGTTTTGTGATGATTGGCCCTACTGTTGCTGATTTGTGCTCATTTATGTATAGAGCCACGCCCCTTTCAAAGTTCATTGGTCCATATCATGAAAAGTAATTGAGATATTGATGTGCTTTATACAACTTTTAATAGGCTTGATCCAATGATAATTCACTGAAAATTTGGTGGCAATCGGAGCTACAGTCTAGGAGGAGATGTCAAAAATGTGATTTTCAAAAAATTCAATATGGCGGAAAGATTTTATAGGCGGACCTTAATGGTCCCAGAGGCTTTTTTGTAGAGCACATTAAGCTGCACCTGTGTGAGAAATTTTAAGTCAATCGTACTCACGGTGTAAGGGGCGTGGCCTTTTTAAGCCTTATTTACATTCCCCCAAGTTTCATGTTTCTAGTTCATTCCAGCTCACGGGAATTTGAGCCGGCACGGCAGACAAATAATAACTAGACAGTGCAATTTCTGGAGAAATTGCGGTGTGAATGCTGGCTATTGAAGGCTGGCTCTTTTATGGCTGACGCTCAACTGGATTGCTAACCTTAAACTTTGTATCATTTTGAATGATTCAAAGGTTTTCAAAAAGAAATTTCTGGGTTACAGCCCCAGAATGCAAGCTCTCATTTCAGCCTCTGTCTGAAACTAGCTGTAGATGCTCCTGTCTCTTTAAGACCCCCCACCCCTCCAAAAGCCCACTGTGTTCTGATTGGCCAAGATCCTGAAGCAGGATGGTTATGCTGCCGAGTGGTACAGAGAGACTGAGCGTAGGAGTTGCCAGGCTGAGAAAGGTTCGGCTGTGGACAGTAGCTCAGGGGGCGTGGCGTGAGCGAGGGGCGTGGTTTGAGAGGTGCTACAGTTCACAGCTGGACAATATTGAGGTTGTAGGCAAATTACCATATATGGAAAACGGCTCTGTATGACATCATTAAGAGCCAAGAGTAGAGCTTTGGCCATGTTTAACATGAACATCTGTCATTGTTAACATCATGGATAAGACAGAAAATATAAAAAGCCTCATAAGTCTCCTTAAATGTGTGTGTGTGTGTGTGTGTGTGTGTGTGTGTGTGTGTGTGCCTGCTGGGACAGTTATGCTTACATGTGTTCTCCCATTCAGTAAAGTTTAAAGCTCCATGTTTTGGGCTCTCTGGATGCGTGTGTGTGCTGTGTCTGTCAGTGTATTAATGTGTGGTTACGTGTGCATTGTGTCTGTCAGTGTATTAATATGTGTGTGTGTGTGTGTGCACATGTGCATTGTGTCTGTCAGTGTATTAATATGTGTGTGTGTGTGCGTGTGCATTGTGTCTGTCAGTGTATTAATGTGTGTGTGTGTGTGTGTGTGTGCATTGTGTCTGTCAGTGTATTAATGTGTGTGCGTGTGCATTGTGTCTGTCAGTGTATTAATGTAACAATATTCTGCAACCACCTGATTCTCTGCCATCTCATATGCATTCCACTGACTTATGTGATCGTTTTTTGACTTTTCTTGCATCTAAGGTTGAAAAGGTACATCAGCAATTAGGCCTACTTACTGGTACTTAATCTTAATCTTAAATCTGTTATTATTACTTCCATTCTTAAGAAACCAGGGGGTAGTCCATTTAATTTTGATATTTTTCGTCCAATTTCAAATTTACCATTTATCTCTAAGGTAGTGGAAAAGTCTATTGCAGTTCAAATTCATGAACATCTTTCTAATAATAATTTGTATGAACAATTTCAATCTGGCTTTCGTCCCCACCATAGCTCTGAGACTGCTCTTGTCAGAATAACAAATGATCTACTGTTGGCAGCTGACTCTGGGCTTTTATCCATACTTTTCCTTCTAGACTTGAGTGCTACTTTTGATACTGTCTCACATAAGATACTTCTTGACAGATTAGCTTCTATTGGTATTACTGGCACTGCTCTGTCTTGGTTTAGGTCATATCTATCTGGACGCAGTCAGCGTATTCAATTAAAAGGTTTTTAATCAAGAACATCTATAGTCGCTACTGGTGTTCCCCAGGGTTCTGTCTTGGGCCCACTTCTTTTCATTATTTACATGCTCCCTCTTGGTTATATTTTGAGGAAATATGGGATTCATTTCCACTGTTATGCGGATGACACCCAACTCTACTTGTCAGCCAAACCCACTGGTTCTTTCCCACCACCATCTTTGTCCAGCTGTTTAGCTGAAATTAAAGATTGGCTTTCTGCTAACTTCTTGAAGGTAAATGGCAACAAAACTGAGGCTTTGCTTATTGGCACTCGATCTGTTTTGTCTAGATCTTATTGTCTTTCTTTGTACATTGACAATACTGTAATCTATCCTTCTTCACAGTTTAAAAGTTTGGGTGTCATCATGGATAGCACACTATCCTTTGAAGCTCAAATTAATAATATCACGTGGATCGCATACTTCCTCTTGCGTAATATTAACCATCTCCGCCCCTTCCTTTCAAATAATAATACTGCAGTTCTTATTCATGCACTGGTCACTTCATGTATTGTATACTGTAATGCTCTTTTCACAGGTGTTCCCTCCAAATTGCTACATAAGCTTCAGTTAGTTCAGAATTCTGCAGCTCGTGTTCTTTCTAGAACTCCTTATACTGAGCACATTTCTCCAGTTCTTCAGCGATTGCACTGGCTTCCAGTAAAGTATAGAGTTGAATTGAAAGACACATCTTAGTTAGTTAGAGTTTTTAATGCATTTTATCTGTATGCGGCTTGTTTTTGTGTGTATTGTTTTATGTAGTGATCTGTATATTGTTTGTGAGGTGACCTTGGGTGTTATGAAAGGCGCCATTAAATAAAATGCATTATTATTATGTGTGTGCGTGTGTGCACTTGTGCATTGTGTCAGTGTATTAATGTGTGTGTGTGTATGTGTTCAGTGAAAAGGACACAAAGAGGTGTTCGGAAAAATAGCTTAACTTCTGTCCACCAATCAGAACAGAGGACCCAGTCCTTTGATCTTTAATCAGCTAACTTACGTCACCAAGGTAACCAGCTCTACAATAGAGACAGATAGAAAAATCCTTCTGAGACTTTCTGTCAAAGAAACCTCCACTGAGACAAAACTATAGGTTGTATTGGCAAAATTACCTGACCAGCAGCAGCAGAAGGCATTCGTGAACGATGTGATATATTTTTTTGTGTGGATAAAGTAAAAAGAATTGAGCTCTTCAGCGAGTTAAAAAACTGGTACGTTCTGCTCTGGTCCAGACATTTTGACGCAAATTTATAATGGCTTCCAATGGAGGACTTGGCTATCACTCTTGTCCTTTGGAAAGGCGCTGAGCCAAATCTATAAGTCTGAGGGATTTAAAAAGCCCACGTGAGGAACCGCAACAAAATTTACTACGTTTCTGGTGTAAAATTATGCATGAAGAGTTAAAAGTTGAAGATGATTTCACAAGCCTGCTACAGTGTAGTCACCCACTTTAACTCACGCAATATACACCCATTATAAACTCAGGAAAGAGCTCAAAAAAGCATAAAACTTCGACAGCTACACCGTGAACAAACCATAAAACATATCAAAAAGCTGAATACATCATTAATAGATTAACTTCTTGTGACCAATTTACAGTTTAAATCAAGTCTGTAGCTGAAAGTATGCTGAAAGTGGAGTAGGTATGAGGAGGATTTTGACAGTCTCTCCCTTCACTTACAATGGGAGAATTTTTCTGGAAAACCTTGAATATTTTGAAAGGTATTCAAGGTATCAATGACAAAAGTAATAGCACCCCATTCCTCATTGAGCCAGACAACTTGGAGTTTGAACAGAGTTTCTATGTCAAAAGCTGTGGGACTACTTAGCGGACAGAAAAACGTGACGGATGAATAATAATAATAAAGGTTAGCAATAACATAGGATGGGTGCCTGCAGCATTCACACCCAATTATAAAACCACTCAATACTGCGTAACCCCACCATAGATATCATATGTTACATTGGCCTGTTACAGTCTACACACCTGTCTCAATGTGTTATATTAATGCATATCTTTTTGGTTTATTTATCTTCATCTTGCACATTGCAAATGTTCTGTATACTTTGTGCTGTGAACTTTTGCACATTCCTTTGTCAGATTTTGCATAACCTTGCACCAAACTGTACAGCTCTGTCATTTTGGAAAGACAAAGCAGTACTTGCTTTGTCTTTCTTTTTAATGTTTTATTTACTATGTTTATTTTCTTACACCAATATACCAAGACAAATTCCTTGTATGTGAAAACCTACTTGGCAATAAACTTGATTTTTGACTGCACAACACTAGCAGCATTAACTGCAGCAGCATTAACTGCAGCAGTATCAATGCCAACAGCAACATCAGCAGCAAACAGAGCATTTGATGTTCCTCCTCAGAGCCACACACACATAAACAAGCACTTAGCCACAGTGGCAAAGAAAAACTTCCTTTTAGCAGGTTGAAACTTGGAAGCAAATTCTAGATTCAGAGTGGGTGACCATCTGCCTCATCCAGTTTGGCTGAGAGAGAGGGCAAAGGAGAGAGTTGGGTGGGGGGCAGAAATAATGTGAACACACTGTAGCATAGTGCAAGTTCCACAGAGATGTAAAAAAACAAAACAATACATATTGACAGTAGTAATAATACCACTCGATGCTGCTAAAGAGTGAAAGTTGGTAATTCTCAACTAGAGTGAAGCCAAATTTTTCTTATGTGCCTCTGTTTCTCTTCCCAGCACTCTGTGGAGGCTGTGAATGCCGGAGTGAATCCTATCGGTGATACCTCCTACAACTCCAGCCACTGGGATCTGGGTAGTGCTTTCTTCTTTGCTGGAACTGTCATCACAACCATAGGTACTGTGATAATGACATGACTCAATGGCTCATGCTGAACATGTTAATGTAATTACATCCAAGGGAATGCACTACACTGATACTTTGTGGGCTTGTTGTAAAAAATGATGTCCTCTGTACTCTACCTTGCATTTATGAATTCATGTCATTAGATATTTGCTGTCTTTATTTTTGCTTGACCAATTTGTGAACAGAACATGCATATAAAACAGTGATTGTATTTGTCTCTCTAAATAGATTTAAATCTGTCTTCAAAAAGACAATTTTAAGAATGTATTGAAAGCATCAAAAACTGAATTTGAACTTGATTGATTGGATAGATTGGAGTTGGTACAGCTAGTTGAAAATAGCTTAGCGCTGTAATGGTTCTGAAGCAAGACCGAAATCGCAACAGAAATGTCCATGGTCTTGTTCCGATGGACAGAACCGCGACACACCCGCTCCCTGGACTGTTGAACTTTTATTAAGACAGTTAAAGTGTGGCGGTCCCCTCCAAAAGTATTGGAACGGATGAGTATGAAAAGATGAGTATGAGACAAGAGTTCAGAATTCCAGCTCTCATTTCCTGGGATTTACATCTAGATGTGTTAAACAAATCACGACATACCACCCTTTGTTTGAACCCACCCATTTTTCAAGTGAGCAAAACTATTGGAACATGTGTCTGACAGATGTTTCTTGTTGCCCAGGTGTTGCCTTTTAGGTTGATTGTCCAAACATTAAATAGCTCTGCATGACTAGTCTTAAGTTTTCATGCTTGGTTCAAACCTATAAAGACTGCATTTCCTGTTAAAGAGGATAAACCATCATGAAGACCAGAGAGCTGTCTATGGGAGAAAAGCAAGCCATTGTCAAGTTGAGAAAAGAAGGAAAATTGACCAGAGCCATTGGACAAACATTGTGCATAGCAAGCACAACAATTTGGAATGTCCTGAAAAAGAAAGAAACTACTGGTGTACTGAGCAACAGACGTCCAACAGGTCGGCCAAGGAAAACAACAGTAGTTGATGACAGAAATATCATGAGAGCTGTAAAGAAAACCCCCAAAACATCAGTAAGTGACACCACCAACGACCTCCACAGTGCAGGGTGAAGGTATCACAATCCACTGTTGGAAGAAGACTCAGAGAGCAGAAATATAGAGGCATACCACAAGATGCAAACCACTCATCAGCAGGAAGAATCAGAAGGCCAGATTGAAATTTGCAAAGACGTACAGAGATGAGCCGCAAAAGTTCTGGAACACAATCCTATGGACTGATGAGACCAAGATTAATCTTTAGCAAAGTGATTGAAAGACCAAAGTGTGGAGAAAGAAAGGAACTGCTTGTGATCCGAAGCAGCCAAGCTCATCTGTGAAGCATGGTGGAGGTAATGTCATGGCTTGGGAGTACATGGCTGCTTCTGGAACAGGCTCATTAATATTTATTGATGATGTAACTGATGATGGTAGCAGCAGAATGAATTCAGAAGTGTACAGAAACATTTTGTCTGCCCATTTACGGAGAAATACATTGAAACTAATCGGTAGGAAGTTAATCATGCAGCAGGACAATGCGCCAAAGCACACTGCCAACAAAACAAAGGACTTCATCAGGGGAAAAAGTGGAAGGTTTTAGACTGGCCAAGTCAATCACCTGACCTTAACCCAATAGAGCATACATTTCACCTCCTTAAGAGGAGACTGAAGGAAGAAACACCCCGAAACAAAGAAGAACTGAAAGAAGCTGCGGTAAAAGCCTGGAATAACATCACAAATGAAGAACGCAACAGTTTGGTGATGTCGATGGGTTGCAGGCTTGAGGCACTTATTGCAAGCAAGGGTTATGCCACCAAATATTAAATGTTATTTACTTTAAGATTATTTGTTCCAATAGTTTTGCTCACCTTCAGGCATATGACAATTCATAATCTAAACCATAATAGAATATTATGCAGTGCAGCTCCCAGACATTCTGTGTTGCTTTCAGATATGTTTCTCCTGTAGATCAACTTTTCTCATGTAATATTATCCCTTTTGAGTTAAAACTTAACTAAACATGCTGACATGATTTAGTCTTGTTCGTGTAAGTAACCTCTTTAAATGTGACTGTGGCACCTTTTCACCTCAATGATAAATTATTTCATTAAATTCAGTTATAAACTCCTGGAAGGTTTTGAATTATATTATATTGTTGGAAACACCTTTAGCTTATACAAGATTTACAGGCTAGGATCACAACCTGAAGGACAGTATCAACACCTGTAGATATTCTCCGCATAAAGGATTTACTCAGATCAACACCTGTACACATCATCCATCACGCAGGATTTACACCACATGATTGCGACAATGCATATGCAAGCACATACTGCCTCACCTCTACCAGTCCAGCTCTGTGAATGAGATTCACAGGGGCTGTCTCTCTGTATGTCTTTCTCCTCCTCTCCTTTTCAGGGGCTCTGTCTCTCTCTCCCCTCCTCTCCTGTCTCCGGATGTTTTTTGGTCCTCTTCTCCTCAGCTCTCCATGGGCTGTCTCTCTTTGTCTCTCTCCGCCTTTCCCCATATTTTCTCTACTCTCTTCATCTCTGAGATAACTGTTACTGTGACTGTTGTATTATATATTATAGGCATACAGCAGAGCTTCACAATATTAAGCATCTTTGCCATATATAGCGGCTGACAATAATGATGTTACAGTTATGTGTTCTTTAGTGTGATGCAGAAAATGAGGGACCTGAGTTGTCGGGAACCAGATAGAGAGGTTGAGTCTAGAAGTAAGTGTAATCTGGCTTTTACTTTGAATATGTCAATGTCTTCACTGAGTACAGTGTTTTTAAGAAATGAGTAGCAGAGGGAAGACATGCAAGTTTTCCATGAAGTTTCAGTCCAATCCAGTGTTATTGATGTTGGTGTAAGTCCATAAGAGTTCGCCGGGCACCTGTTCATGTTAGGGGGTGGCTATGACCTCCGTATGTGGCTGTTGCCCTGATTTAAGTAATGATATTCTCTGAGATCCTCACAGTCCCAGAGTCAGTCCACACCCACTGTAATGACAGTACGGTTCGAACACAAATGTCATTCAAATCTGGCCAGTCTGACCAGACACCAAAACCAGTAGATTGGGTGTCAAGTTTCCCACTGGGTTTTAAGTGGGACTCTGACTCCCTGGCTAGTGGGACCTTGCGTCTCCTAAAATCCAGGAAAAGGGAAGATCGAGCCAGCTCCCTCACATCTTTGTCATCATTATTCAGCATGTTCATAAGATGAACGCAGTAGTAGGCATGGTAAGTTGCTTTAGTGGGACTCTACTGCAAAGCTAACGGAGCCACGGAGTTAACGTTAGCTGTGCAGTAGAGTCCCACTAAAGCAACTAACCACATCTACTACTGTGTTTATTTAATGTACTTCATACATGGCTTAACGTTCAGACAATTTCTCTTGACTGTCTCTCAGTATGAAATAACGTTACTCCAACACTGTGGAACAGACGCTAGCCACATTAGGCACGCAGCATGCTAGCGCCAAGTTCACCCGGCTACCACACTGTATAACTGTAAAACTCCATATAAATTCCACAACTTACATGTCAAAATTTTGAAGTCGGCTTCAACCCACCCCTGTGCTTCAGTGCTGAAATGAAACGTTGTTTGTTACGTTACTAGTCCTCTTTGAGAAATGGTTAGTAACTTCAGTAACTTACAGACACCTTGCTAAGCAACCTGTTAAACCAGCTGTGTGTTCAAACTTAGCCTAGTTATTAGCCTAGTGTAAATTATTACTAATGTGATTTAGAGCTGTCCCCGACTAAGGATTTACATGGTCGAATCAGAATCGTCAAGTCCTTCCTGTAGTCGACTGATAGTCGAATCGTGTGTGTTTTTGTGTGCGGCAATTGCGAGGGGGAGGGGGTGTTACACACAGTAGCTCCGCTTTAATCTTGAGAAGCTGCTTCAGTCTCTATTCATTCAACTTACACTGTAAATTTCCAGCTAAACTGAGGCTTTTTGACGATCCTTTTCTCTCTCGCCTGTCATTTACCTGTCTTGTGTGAGTTTTGCGTGCATGCTGTGCTGCTGACAACTACATGCACGGGTCTATTTCAAGTAGCCGGCTATTTAAAAACGATATAATATTCTTTGTGTGGTTCATCAACAGTGATAAATTATCCGAAAGTCCCGCTAGGTGCGGACAACTCCAGTGAAGCCAGGGCTCAGTCTCTTCAGCAAGTGTTCCTCTTCCGCCACCACACACACACACGCTGTCGTTTTTCTACCCCTCAGCATAACATTTCATTAACTGCATGTCATTTAGCTACACGGTAATCCAGTAGAGACCTAAACATGATATTTTAATATCGATCTAGCTTTCGTCACAACTTTCTGGATGTGCTAAGATGCCTAGTGGCTACCTAGCCAGAAAGCTAATGCACATGGCTACTTGTCATAGTTACGACTTTACGCCTAAGTTAAACTTGTGAAGTGCCAAAGTAATTGTAGCGCAACCCATATTAGTAGCTGATTTAGTTACAAACAAACTAGTAGTTACTTAACCTCTAGTGTGGGCTTTAGGAGATAACTTACACACAGCTGGAGCTATGGGCTGCCAATGTGGAATACAGGAAATCGTGAAAAACAAACTTGCTGATTGGCCGAAAAGGCACTCTGAGCATCTGCACTGGATTGCTCTTCCTCAAGGACCTTGACCTGTCTGTGACCTAAAAAGTGAATCCTGTGGATTTAAATTGAATTTAGAGAACTGAATGTGAACTGAGAGAACTGAAAGTGAAAGTATAAAGAATTTTTAGTGAAGCTTGAATACAGTTGCAGTTGCAAAAGAATTCAGTTTCATAATATTATATTCAGTTTAAAGTTTATTGGAGTACAGTTTCAAACTAATTATTTCAGTTTCATACTATGCTATTCACCTTCAGTTTTTCAATGCAATTATTCAAGTTAAACAATGCAAATTCAAATTATGCAATTCAAATTCAGTTTTTTAGTGCAATTATTCAAGTTGA